GCAAATAATTGAAAAGTTGCAAAGAATTTTATTAAAATTTTCAAAAATAATTGAATTCCCGAGTAAATAATTGAATTCTTTAGAAGAATTTTATAAATATTGTTCTAAATAATTAATTTTTTCAAAATTATAAATATTATGAAAATTTTATAATTCATAATTTTATAATTGAAATTCTGCAATGAGTTTTATTATTTGGGAAAATAATTGAATTCTTAAAAGAAATTTTATTATTAACGAAAATAATTGAATCCCTGTAAAAATTTTAATATTTATAAAAATAATTGAATGATTGCGAAGAAATTTATAAAAAATTTGCAAACATAATTGAATTTTTTCGAAGAATTATTTATGTAAATAATTGAATTCTTGAAAAGAATTTTTTTTAAATCTAAAAGAATAATTAAATTATTTCAAAAAAGTTTCATTAAAATTGTATTTAAAATAATTGATTTCTCTCGAACAGTTTTATTAAATTATTTGAAAATAATTGAATTCCTGTGAAAAATTTTTATACTTTTGTAAATAATTGAATTCTTTCAAGGAATTTTAAAGAAATAGTTTTTTCTATAATTTTTTTTCCAGGAATTGAAATTAAATGTTTAATTACATTAAAAATAATTACATTTTTTGATCAATTCCTGTAAAATTGTATTAAAAATAATTGAATCCCTGAAAAAATTTTAATATTTATAATTGAATGATTGCGAAGAAATTTATAAAAAATTTGCAAATAATTGAATTCCTAATGAAATTTTTATTATTTAATCAAAATAATTAAAGGTTTTGCGTAGAATTTTATTTAATTTTTTTTTAATTAATTAAATTCTTTTGAAAAATTTTATTAAATTAGTAGATATTGAAAAATCATTGAATTTAGGGAATTTTTTGCAAATAATTGAAATTTTTCCAAGAATTTTATTAAAATTTTTAAAAATAATTAAATTTTGGAAAAGAACTTAATTATTTCTAAAGATAATTGAAATTTTAACGTGAATTTTTAAAAATTTTTGAACAGAATTGAATTTTTACGAAGAATTTTATGAGTTTTGAAAATAATTGAATTTCTGCAATAATTTGTAATTTTTCTAAAATTCTTCAAATTATGTCGTACAATTTACGAACTTTTAGACATTATTATGATTATTATTATTATAATTTTTATTATTATTATTATCTTTCATTATTATAAAATGAAACCCTTTTTTCTATTTATTTCCTATTCGTTTTCTATCCTATTTTCTCTAGGTTAGTTTCTCTAGGATCTTAACAATCTAGTAAGTTTGAAAAAAGAAAATTTATTTTTGTTACAAAATTATAAAACTTTTCTTGCTATTAATAATTTTGTTACTTAATTGTCTTATGTTTATCTAGATACCCATTTATTGTCCAATATTGGACTGCGGGAATGTATATTAATAAATAAATAAATTAGTTAGGCTTGCTCGGAATTTCTTTAGGAGTGCTCTTAGGTCTTATTAGGAGTCTTCTTGGGAGTTTTTTTTAAAGGGTATTGTTAAGAGTATTGTTAGAAATACTTTTAGGAGTCCTTTTATTAGTCTAGATAGGAATCTTTTTAGAATTCCTTTTAGGATTCGTATTAGGAGTCTTGTTAGGAACTCTTTTAGGAGTTCTCTTGCGTCTTATTAGTCTTTTTAGTAGTTAGCTTAGAAGTCCTATTAGGACACCTATTAGGACTCTTATTATGAGTATTTTTAGTAGTTATCTTAGGAGTCCTATTAGGACACCTATTAGGACTCTTATTAGAACTCTTATTAGGACACTTATTAGGACACTTATTAGGACTCTTATTAGGAGTCTTGTAAGGACTTTAAACTTTTCAAGCTTCCCTTAAGCCGTTGAATGAATACAACCCTCCAAATCAGTTATCTTTTCCAAACTTGATCAACACAAGATTTCTGAAATACAAATAAGTCAATTTTATCTATAGAATATAAAAAGAGTAAAATTTTCTAATATTGAACCAGCATCTCTCATCTTATTCTTTTCACTTGGTACATGCATTAACCGTCTATACGTATAGAGGACCGTCTTGGGATACGATACGGGAGAGAGGGAAGCTGGGCGGATGGGGTTGCAATCGGCGTGAGGGTGGCTTCCAGGGGGGTATGGGGGTGGAGGTAAAGGAGGGAAGGGGGGGGGGGAGGTAGACGAAGAAGTTAGAGCGAGTAAGAAAGACAGACAGATGGATAGAAAGAGGAAGATGTAGAGAAAGAGGAGAGTGGTAGCTGTATCTTGGAGACTTCGCACTGTATCTTGAAATGAGTTTTGTTGGATCAATAAGTTCCACTATAAGAACACTCTCGCTCTGTCCCGGGATTGGTATCGAGGTACCCACCCCTGCTATGTATCTGCCGCCAGTCGAGACTATATATGTATTTTATATATATAGTTACTATATATATGTATACATATATAAGCGAATAGGATAGTAACTACAAGCATTTCGAGATGAGTCGAACTCAATCCCAAAACAAATATATACCCTTGAAATTCATATTTCGTAATGGTCTAAAAGTTAATCATATTTTGAAACTCGTCTTTTCGTATACAGTACTCGTTAATTTTAATAATTCTATATAGAAGCCGATCTCAAGCGAGGGATTGCAAATATTTCATTCCTTCTTTCGTTGATTTAATCAACGAAGAAGAGTTTTCAAATCAAGGCGCTACTTGTTTTTCAAGGAAATTTCACTTTAAATCAATTTACTATTATGACTGTAAAAACTTTCTTTTAATAGTATAAATACATATACTATTAAAGAAAGTTTTTATAGTCATAATATATAAAATAAGAAAACTAAACTATATTACAAATATACCTTTTGCAGTTTTTGATCTTAAAAAATTAATTTAAAAAAAATTTTCTTTATCTTAGAATTAGATTGAAATTTATTTATTATTAGTGTAAAATTAGATATTTATTATTAATTACAGACTTCGCATTCGATAATTAATTTAAAAATGTAGCAAAAAATAGCTTTCAAACTAAAAAATTTAGTAAAAAGATTAGCTATCGAAAAATTAAAATTGACGACCAAAAAAACTTGTTTTGGAAACTTCACAAAACTATGACAAAAATTCCAGTCTATATTTTATTTTCCTCACTTTATCCTAATTTTCATAAAAAAATATTTACTTTTTTCTTATCCTGCTAATAAATTTAATTCCTGCTACAAGTGTTATAATTCATGAAAGAACTTAAATATTTATAAAAATAATTTAATTCATGAGAAGAAATTTATAAAAATTTTTAAATAATTAATTTTTTTCGACTAATTTTATGCAAATTCTAATCTAAATAATTAAATATCTGAAAAATTTTTATTATTCACGAAAACAATTGAATTCTTACGAAGAATTTTACAAAAAATTTTTTTAAACCTAATTCAATTCTGTTTGGAAATTTTATGGACATAGGTAGTAGATATTAAAAATCATTGAATTACGAAAAGTTTTTAAAAATAATTAAATTTTGCAAATAATACTAATTTTGTTTTTGAGAATATTTAATGTCTGTGTGGCATTTTATTAAATTTTTGAAAAATAATGGAATTCCCAAGAAGAATTTTATTATTGATGAAAATAATTGAATTATTGCGAACGATTTTACAAGAATTTTTTTAAAATTTATGAATTTCTTAGAAAACATTTATTGTTTTTAAAAATAATTGAATTTCTGTGATGAATATTGTTAATTATGAAAATAATTGAGTTTTGCAAATAATTTTATTAAAATGCCTCAAATAATAATTGATCTAAAAGAATAATTGAATTATTTCTAAAAAGTTTAATTAAAATTGTAATTAAAATAATTTATTTCTTTTGATCAATTTTATTAAAATACTTGAAGATAATTGAAATTTCTGTGAAAAATTCTAATATTTTTGTAAATAATTGAATTCTTTAAAAAAAATTTTAAAAAACATTTTTTTTTAATAAATTAATTTTTTCGAGGAATTGAAATTAAATTTTTAAGATTAATTACATTGTTTGATCAATTCCTATAAAATTGTATTAAAAATAATTAAAACCTTGCGTTGAATTTTATTATTTATGAAAATAATTGAAAAGTTGCAAAGAATTTTATTAAAATTTTCAAAAATAACCAAATTTCTAAAAAAAAAAAATGTAATGCTTTTAAAAATAATTGAATTCTTGTGATGAATATTGTTATTTATAAAAACAATTGAATTTTGTAAAGAATTTTATTAAAATGCCTCAAAATAATTGAATTTTCGGGAATAATTTTGTTATTTATCAAAATAATTGAATTCTTTCGAAGAATTATTTATCTAAATAATTGAATTCTTAGGAAGAATTTTATTAAAATCGAAAAGAATAATTGAATTATTTCAAACAAATTTAATTAAAATTGTATTTAAAATAATTGATTTTTTTCTAACAATTTTATCAAAATTTTCAAAAATAATTGAATTCCTGAGAAGAATTTTATTATTTATGAAAATAATTGAATTATTGCGAAAAATTTTATTAAAATGTTTATAAAGAATTGAATTTCTTTGAAGGATTTTTATTATTTTTGAAAATAATAATTGAATTCTTATTCAGAAATTTATTATTTATTAAAATAATTGAATTATTGCGAAAAATTTTATTAAAATGTTTATAAAGAATTAAACTTCTGTGAAAAATTTGTTTTTTTTGAAAATAATTGAATTCTTTATAAGAATTTTGTAAACATTGTTTTAAATAATTTATTTTTTTGGAACTTTAATAAATATTATGAAAAGTTTATTAGTTTAAATAATTGAATTCTTGTGGAAAACTTTATTTGTGAAAATAATTGAATTTTTCGATTAATTAATTAAAAATTGTATTAAAAATAATTGAAATTCTTCGATGACTTTTATTATTTATGAAAATAATTGAATTCTTGCTTAGAATGTTATCAAAAATTTTTTTAAAAAATTGAATTTACATAAAAAATGTTATTATTAGTGAAAGTAGTTGAGTTATTGTGAAGAAGAATCATAATTTCTTTATTTTTAAATATTATACAATATACATGTGTAGAGCAATAGGCTTATATTTTGAATTAATTTAATATTGTGTGATTTATGTTTTCTTGTTTTTAAAAATCTAAAAAATTATAACTAGTGAAGATTTATTCTTTTTTGCGCATATCTGGAATTTTTTTGAAGAAGCAGGAATCAATGCTTCTTGCAAAATCACATTCGTCGGCTATTCCTTTAGCTGAAAATTTTGTTCACAAATATTAGTTTTTAACATTTTTTTCACTATTTCAGTTTAACAATGAAATGAAATTTTTGTTGCAATATTAACAATATTTCCTGAATATTCTTAAATATTCTTAAATAATAATATTCTTCTAAAAGTAATAATAAAAACAAAAGTTTTTGAATGCTATTTTAAAAAAAGTGGTTTAGAATTATTTTAAGTAATTTAAAAACGGGTTTTAAATGATTTTAAGGAATTTAAAAATAATTCAATGCTTACCTCCAGCGACGCACTCTTCCTTTGCTTTGATTATGTCTGCAGCTTTATCAGGGAACTTTTTGTTAACCATGTCCTTAACTTTATCCATATTGTATTTGTTACCAGGTTCCAACTAAAAATAAATTTTCACTTTTTTGTTTAAACGTTTTAATACAATTTTTTATTGAATTTTTTTAAATATTCCTTTATATAAATATATGTTCTTATAATAAAAAAAAAAAATTACACAATCAGGAGTTGCCTGGAAAATAAAAAATAAATGTTCGTGACTTACAATGCCGGCTCTTTTTGCTACACATGCTGAAAGGCATTTAAACTCTGGTTTGTCGAAAGTTTTCGTTTCACGGGCCTCCTTCATCATATCTGAAAATTTTTTTTTTCTATTAATAATTATCACAAGAAAGCAAAGATTTTCAGAATTGTAATTTTTTTTAACAGTAGAGAAGTGTAATTTAACTTTTGATTGTAAAAAAATTGTAACGTGGATTTTTATACCTTTCGTTATCTTAAGTTCTTGAGCACATGCTTTGAAGTGTTCCTTACGATCAGCATCAGCACCCATCTTTTAAATATATGGTAAATAGTTAATAAATAGTAGATATTAAACAGATAGTGAATAAATTAGAAATAGTAAATAGTAAATAGTAAATAGTAAATAGTAAATAGTAAATAGTAAATAGTAAATAGTAAATAGTAAATAGTAAATAGTAAATAGTAAATAGTAAATAGTAAATAGTAAATAGTAAATAGTAAATAGTAAATAGTAAATAGTAAATAGTAAATAGTAAATAGTAAATAGTAAATAGTAAATAGTAAATAGTAAATAGTAAATAGTAAATAGTAAATAGTAAATAGTAAATAGTAAATAGTAAATAGTAAATAGTAAATAGTAAATAGTAAATAGTAAATAGTAAATAGTAAATAGTAAATAGTAAATAGTAAATAGTAAATAGTAAATAGTAAATAGTAAATAGTAAATAAATAGTTAATAGTACAAGTAGATAGTACATAAACTAAAAAAATTTTATTTCATCTTTCTAAACTTGAATTAGTAAAAATGTTTACTAATTTGAATTATTGACTGACAGTTTTACTTTTTGCTTTAGAATTAGTAACTTTTAATAATAAATTAGTTTAAATGACTATTTATTAGTAGAATTTCCCAATTCAAAAGCAAAAAGTCAAGTAACTACTTCAAATTAATAAATATTTTTTCAAATTAAAATTTAGAGAGATTATTTTATTATCTAAAGTTTTTAACAGTATAAATTTTTTTTTATCAATTGACCGATTAATTGAATAATTAAAAAAAAACTCACCAGCTGATGGAGCATAATTCCAACGAAAAATAATACAAACTTCATGATTTTTAAAATTTTTTTTATGAGCACACACTGTTTGATGGGACAAGCACTTGTGAAAAGAAGAGAATTTTGCAGGATTTATATATCAGTGGTGGACAATATCTTAATTAAATTGGAAGGTCAAAATCTAAAGAACAGGAAATGTATCATATAATTTTCTTTAGTAATTGTTATTTTAATATATTTTTTTTTCCTGCAAGATCATAAAATTCAATTACAGTAAATTCTCTCTTTTTGCAATAAAATTACGGAAGATGATGTTTAAATATAGTTTACACATATATGCTACTCCTAGAATTTAAATATTTCATACAATCGTAAAATGACAAATTATATATGACAATTACTATAATTGTTATTTTTTTTATTTATACTATTTTTTGATTTTTTTTTTTTTTTTTTGCTTATTTACAGAGTAGAAAAGTAAAAAACTTCGTCGAGGAAACTACCTTCGAGTTAGCTTAACAAGTTTTATTTTTTTTCGAATAGTAAATTAACGAAATATATTTGAAGTTTAAAATGTTTAAATAATCCAATAGATTCAAGTTTTTTCAATGTAATTTTTATCCAAAGAATTATTTTCTGTCATAATGCTTTTTAAATAGGTGAAAAAATATCAAAAAAACGTGTTTTCTATAGTTGTACTTGAAATTTTTATTTTTTTTCGATTTTGGTGACAGACAAAAAAATATCCTAATTTTCAAAATTAACAAACTTTTTTAAAAATTGATCAGATCTGATTAAAATTTGTTACTGGGAAGTTTCTGGGGTCGCTGATTACGAATATGAAGTCAGATTCCAAAAATTAAAAATGGCGAATACAAAATGGCGAAATTTCTGTAAGTTTTCAGATTGAATTTACAAACAAAAAATAGTCGGCGATTTTTTAGAATAAAATCGTTAAAAAGGGTATTTATTGTTAATATTATTGTTTACAATAATATTAATTAAAACAATAATTTTAATTTACAAAAAAATAATAGGCGATTTCTCAGAATAAAATCGTTAAAAAGGGTATTTTATTGTTAATATTATTATTATTATTATTATTATTTTTCCTTTAACTATTATATTCTTAATATTAATATTGAAAGTTACGGAATTTTGAATGAAGCATATTTTTTAATCAATCAGATAGTTTACATAATTTCTGTTTAGGATCCTTTTTATTTTTTTCTATTTATTTCTAATATTGTATTATTTAAATAAAAAGCAGGTGTTTATTGTTTAGAGAAGGAAATAAATTTATTGAAATGAAAATTTACAATTTTTTAATTGTATATACAATTTACAAAATTTTCTTTATTTCTTTGTGCGTTGTGTATATTCCTTTCTCAACTAATGTTAAAAATTTGATTTCCTCTATACAATTAGAAGAATAAAGGGTTAATTTCATTCGTTTTATGGTTTCAACATTTTACGAATATCTGGAACCTTGCTGATGAAACAAGTTACTACATTATTGAAGAAGTCACATTCATCGGCAGTATCTTTATCTGTAAATTAAAAATTTGTTTTCAAATTAGAAAAAGTTTCTATAAAATATATATTTTTTTTAATTTATAATTTTCATAAGATTGTATTATTTATTATATTTATTTAGATTGTTTTATTAGGTTTATTCTCACATTGAGCACCACAATCAACTCCTGCTTGAACAACTTGATCAATATTTGGTCCAACATGTTCTGATGCTTTTGTTTTTAATACAGCTGTATTTATAGTATTACCAGGTTCGAGCTGTCAACATTATAAAATAAAATTGAATTTCTCTTCTTTTTGTGATAAAAAAAAAAAAATTGTTAATAATTAATACTTACGATACCGTCTTTCTTGAAAACGCATGCATAAAAACAACGGAATTCTGGTTTTCCCATATTCGCTTTTAGACCATTTTTCAGCATATCTGGATTGCATTAGAATAATTTGAAAATAGTGCTTGCAAAAGTGGGTAATTTTATTTCAAAAAAAAAAGAAAGAAAAAACTTTTTATTCGTACCTGTAGGTATTCCAAGTTCATTGGCACATGCTAACATTATTTGTTTGTCACCATACGCAGTGTTGATCTAAATCAGAAACACGGTGGTTTTTTCTTTTACTTTTTTTTGATATTGTTAACGAACTGTTGGATTTATTGGAGAATTTATTTATTTATTGGAAAATTTATTTACTAGAGAATATATTTAGTGGAAAATTTATTTACCAGCGAATATATTTAGTGGAAAATTTATTTATTTAGACAGTTTACTTATTGGAATGTTTATTTACTAAAGAATATATTTAGTGGAAAATTTATTTGACAATTTATTTATTAGACAATATATTTATTAGAAAATTCATTTAGGACGGAATTAGTAAGCTCAAAAATTTATTTATCAGAAAATTTATTTACTGCAATTATTTATTGCTGGTTGTATTTTCTTTTAAGAAAATGCTTACCATTTGAAAAAGCACAACTCCTGCGAAATATAGTAAATACTTCATGATTATTTTAGAGTTAATTTTCTTTATTCCAGTGAGTGTTGTGTACTGTACGGTTAGATCAACTTTGTGAAAACGAAATCGAAACTGCAGTATTTATGTGTTTGCGAAATTGTTAAATTTTTTTTTTTTTTTTTTGGTAATGACAATTTTAATTAGTAGCAAGAAAAAATAGAAGAAAAGAGTTTGTAGGATTTTTATAGCAGGAAGTAAATTTGTCGCATGCGGTAATGATGTTTTATAATATTAGTCACTTGTTTATGGTTTACGACTTTTAGGTTCAGCCAAAAAAAAAAGTCGTCACGTAATGCGTGTATTTAATTTTATAAAAAAAAAGGAAATAGAATTTTTATATTTCACTCAAAAATAATTATTATTCTCGTATTCTTCTTTATGCAATTTTATTTTTTTCTTTTCAATTTTATTTCTTGCAGTTGTAAATCAAAATTCTGACCAGTGTAACATTAGCGAGACATTGTATATTATACTATTATTATGTTATAATTTTTATTTTATAATTAATTAAAAATTGTAATGACAAATAGAAATCATCAAAATTTTTTTCACTTCTTTTCATTAAAAGACTAAAATTTTGTTAAATATTATGTTTTGTCAAATTGAAATTATGCAGATTTTTGTTCTTTACTTCTAAACAAATTTAGAAAATTGTTAAACAACTGTGATTAAGAAATAGAAAATTTATTTATTTTGCATTATTTTTCTTTATGAATCACAAATTTTTTAAACAAAATTATTATTTTGTTTTAGAAAAAGAAAAAAAATATTTGCACAATTCTTATTTTTAATCTTATTTTTGGAACAGGATTTTCCACAAGAATTAAGACATTCATGTTTTCTAATAATTAAAGATGACCTAGAGATAAAATCATTATTTTATTTTATAAGAATATTGTTACTGTAATTTCATCAAAATTATTTTCATAATTTTAATTCAATTATTATTTTCTAGAATTTTAAATTATTTTTTATGAAAATAATAATTGAATTCCTTAAAAAAAATTTATTATTTATGGAAATTATTTATAAATTTCTCTGAAAGATTTTGATATTTTTGAAAATAATTGAATTCTTGGAAACAATTTTATTAGAGAATTTTTTAAAATAATTTAATTTCCAAGAAAAATGTATTACTTTTAAAAGTAATTGAATTCTTCTGATGAATATTGTTATTTATTAAAATAATTGAATTTTGAAAAAAATTTTATTAAAATACCTCAAAATAATTGAATTTTCGGAAATAATTTTGTTATTTATCTTTAATAATTGAATTTATTCGATGAATTATTTATGTAAATAATTGAATTCTTAGGAAGAATTTTATTAAAATCTAAAAGAATCAATGAATTATTTCAAAAAAGTTTAATTAATATTGTATTTGAAATAATTGATTTACTTCAGAACAATTTTATTAAAATATTTGAAAATAATTGAATTTCTGTGAAATTTTAATTATTTATGAAAATAATTAAATGTTTGCATACAATTTTATTAAAATTTTTTAAAAATAATTTAATTCTTTTTGGGAAATTTTATTAAAATAGTAGATATTGAAAATCTATGAAATTAGAAAAATTTTTGAAAATAATTGAAATTTAGGACAAAGATTTTTTTTACATTTAGGAAAATAATTGAACTTTGGAGAAGAATTTTGTTATTTATAAAGATAATTGGGGATTTTTACGAGAATTTTTTTCAAATTTTGAACATAGTTGAATTTTAAAAAAAGAATTTTATTTATTTATTTTTTTTTAAATAATTGAATTTTTGCAATTATTTGTAATTTCTCCAGAATTGTATTTTTTTTAGTGTTTTTAACAAAAATTTTAATTAGAAAATTTTTTAATTCTATTTATTTTTGAAATTGTTAATTTTATTTAAAGAAGGCAGCAAAAAGGTAGCCGCGCGCTGAAGCGCGCGAATTGTTGCTTGTATTAAGAATATTAATTAAATTCAAATATAAATTTACAATTTTTGTTCACTCTTTTTCTTCACAACATAATATTTTTATTGTAGTGCTATTTTTAAATAAAAATACTCTTTGCTATAGATTGAATATATTTATTGATATTAAAATTTACAATAAGTTATTTAAAACGTACAATTATTTTTTTCTAATTTACAATTAATTGGCTATTTTAAAAAAAAAATTTCTTCATGCAGTGGTATCCTCTTTTCTCTCGTTAATATTTAATTTGTTCTCTTCTATTTTAAAATATTTTAGGTCTCAATTCGTTCATTCATTTTATGGTGTGAAATGTTTTCCAATATCAGGAATCTTGGCGAATATACATTTATTTATGGCATTAACGAAGTCACATTCATCGGCAATTCCTTTAGCTGTAAATTAAAATTAAATTCACAAATTAGAAACATAATTTTAAAAAAAATTTTATTATTTAAAAAAGATTTAAATTTAAAAAAAAAATCAAAATGAGAAAAATAATTTATAGATTTCACAGATTTCAGAAAATTTTATCGCTATAGATTTTGTTTATCTTACATTGTTCAGCACATTCAGCTCCTGCAGCAAAAACTGCATCGGCTTTGCCTCCAAAATGTTCTGCTGTATGCGCCTTCATTACTGCCGCGTTTATTTTATTACCAGGTTCGAGCTGTCAACATTAAAAAAATTTTTTTAGTATTAATTAAAAATTAATTTTCACTGCTTTTATTAATTTTTACTAATTTTAATAATTGTTTTTACTTTTGCTAATTTTTACTAATTTTAATAATTGTTTTTGCTTTTGCTAATTTTTACTAATTTTACTAATAAGTAAACGTAACTACTTACTGTACCATCCTTCTTCATGACACACGCAACGAAACAGCGGAATTCTGGTTTTCCCATATTCGCCTGAGGGCCTTCTTTGAGCGTAGCTACAACAATGTTTAAAAATAATTTGTAAAAATTGACAAATTTTGAAAATAGTACAATGAAAATTAGATAATTAATAATTTTTTTTAGTTTAAAATCATTTTTCATACCTTCTGGTATTCCAAGTTCTTTAGCACATGCTAAAGCGAATTCTTTACTACCGTATGCGGTGCTTATCTAAATAAAAAAAATGAATTTTTTTTAATATTAATAACAATGTTGTATTTAAAAGAGAATTTATTTGTTGGAGAATTTATTCATTGGACAATTTATTCATTAGACAATTAATTTATTAGTGAATTTATTCATTGGAGAATTTATTCATTAGACACTTTATTTATTAGAGAATTTATTCATTAGACAACTTATTTATTAGAGAGAATTTATTCATTGGAGAATTTATTAATTAGAGAATTTAATAGAAAATATATTTATTACGGGAATTATTCATTCAAAAATTTATTTATCAAAAAAATGTATTTATTAGAAAATTTATTTATTAGAAAACTTATTTATTTATTGTCGTGTTACGTTTTTAAAAGAATGCTTACCATTTGAAAAAGCACAACTCCCGAGAAAAATAGTACATACTTCATGATTATTTTAGAGTAGATTTTTGATTGCAGTGAGTATTGTTTACTGTATACGGTCAGATCAACTTTGGCGAAAGGAAATGGAAACTCCAGTATTTATAAGTTTTGCGAAATTGCAATTATTATTTTTTTTTTGCAACGATGACTATTAGAATTTGTAACAAAAAATTAAAATATAAAAAGAGACTGTAGATTTTTTTATAGCAGGAAGTAAATTAGCCGTAACTACTAATGATTTTGTTTAGATATTTGGTCCCTTGTTTTTCGTTTACGACTTTCAAGTTCATATTTAAAAAAAATAGTTACGTAAAATGTATATTAAGTTGTAAAAAAAAATGAAAATAACAATTTCATTTTATTGTCTTCTGCAACATTCTTATCCAAGGATCAACATCTATAGAATAGGATTAGCGTTCTTTTTTCCGAGAGAAAAAAATCTTTAATGATCCTGTTAAAGAAAGAAGACCCTTGTTATTCACGATATTGATAATGGTGTTTGATATAGAAAGAAGAAGTAACGAAAAAGAGAGGAAGAGTTGAATGAGAGGGTTAATTTGAACGCAACTTGCCGCGCGCATTCGTTATGAGCCGATAGCAATTGTTTGCCCTATCTGCTATTTCCACTGCGACATCGTCTCACGTATTAGTGGCACATACACTTCAATTCCACCTAAAATGCTAAAATTCATGTGTATGAATGAGGTCTTATGTAAGCACACATTCTATATAAGTATAGACACACTCACACTCTGATTACAAATTCCTAATTCCAATAATCATTTACCCCTTTATTTCTCTTCAGTTTTTTCTTATATAATACAACAGAAAATTTATTTAATTTTTTATTCCAAATTTTTAAACAATTTATTTATTAATACTGCAGGCCATTTAAAACAAAATAACAGGTTTCGCATACTCATCTACTAAAACCTACTATTTACTACTTTTTTACGTTATCCCGTGTAGAAAAATTTCTTGGCGCTAGCTAGCAGTACTAGATACATGGTAAATTTACATGCAGTCTAGCGCTGCTAGCTAGCGCCAAGAAATTTTTCTACACGGGATGCTACTATTTGGATACTTTTTAAATTTCAGCCACTAAAAGCTACTATTTCTAATTTTTTTAGAATTTACTTTAAAATCGCTAACACTAGAAATCAAAAAACTATTCTCAAAAATTATAATCAAATTCTTCAAAACGATTCAATTGTTTTCGAAAAATATTCGAATTTCAATTACATATTATTAATATGTATATTATTTTCATAAAATTTTCGCAAAAGAATTCAATTATTTAATAAAAATTTGATAAAATTTTTCCAAAATTCAATTCTTTAGAAAAAATTGATAAAATTTTTCCAAAATTTAATTATTTTCATAAATAATAAAATTTCCACAGGAATACAATTAATTTAGAATAGGATCTTTAAAAAAATCATTTATTTAACAAAACTTTAATATAATTCTTCACAATTATTCAAATACATTCACTAATTATAATTATATTTTTCATAGAATTTCAATTTTTTAAAAAAATGTTTGATAAAATTCTAAGCAAGAATTCAATTATTTAAAATAAAATTATCATAATATATATATTATATTTCCAAGAAATAAATTATTTAATACATAATATTTATAAAATTCTTATGAGGAATTGAATTATTTTCAAAAATAACAAAATTTTCCACAGAAATTCAATTCTTATTAACATTTTAATAAAATTTTTCGCAATAATTCAATTATTTCGGTAAATAATATAATTCCAGGAATTCAATTATTTTCAAATATTTTAATACAATTGTTGGAAAGAAATCAATTATTTAAAAAAAAATACAATTTTATTTAAATTTGTTTGAAATAATTCAATTATTCTTTTAGATTTTAATAAAATTCTTACCAAGAATTCAATTATTTACATATATAATTTTTCGAATGAATTCAATTATGTCGACAAATAACAAATATATTCCCGAAAATTCAATTATTTTGAGGCATTTTAATAAAATTCTTATCAACTATTCAATTATTTTTATAAATAATAAAATTCATCGCTGGATTTCAATTATTTTTAATACAATTATTTTATAGAAATTACTCAAAAAAATTAATTATTCAAAAAAAGATTTTTTTTTAAATTCCTTGAAAGAAATTAAATTATTTATAAAAATATTAGAATTCTTCACAAAAATTAAATTATTTTCAAATATTTTAATAAAGTTGATCAAAAGAAATCAATTATTTTAAATACAATTTTGATTAAACTTCTTTGAAATAATTCAATTATTCTTTTAGATTTTAATTAAATTCTTCTCAAGAATTCAATTATTTACATATAAATAATTCTTTGAAAGAATTCAATTATGTCAATAAATAACAAAATTATTCCCGAAAATTCAATTATTTTGAAGCATTTTAATAAAATTCTATGAAAAATTCAATTATTTTCATATATAACAATATTCATCACCAGAATTCAATTATTTTTTTGAAAATTTTAATAAAATTCTTTGCAACTATTCAATTATTTTTAAAAATAATAAGATTCTTCTCTGGAATTCAATTATTTTTGAAAATTTTAATAAAATTCTCTGCAAAATTCAATTATTTTCATAAATAACAATAATCATCCCAAGAATCCAATTAGTTTTAGAAGTAATCAATTTTTTCTTGGAAATTCAATTATTTTCAAAAATTCTAATAAAATAGTTGGCAAAAATTCAATTATTACATAAATAATAAAATGCTTTTTAGGAATTCAATTATTTTCAAAAAAAAATTTAATAAAATGCCACATAGACATTCAATTATTCTCTAAAATTTTAATAGAATTTTTTCTATAATTTAACTATTTTTAAAAACTTTTCTCAATTCAATGATTTACAATATCTACTATTTTCATAAAATTTCCAAACAGAATTCGATTATTTAAAAAAAAATTTTGTAAAAATCTTCGTAAAAATACAATTCTTTTCATGAATAATAAAAATTTCTCAGGAATTCAATTATTAAAATTAGAATTTGCATAAAATTATTCGAAAGAAATGAATTATTTAAAAATTTTTATAAAATTCTTCGTAAGATTTAAATTATTTTGTAAAAATATATTTAAAATTCTTTCAGGAATAACAAAATTTGTTGCAGGAATTCAATTTATTAGCGTGATAAGAAAGGAGTAAATATTTTTGATGAAAATTAGGAAAAAGTCTGGAAAAGAAAATTTAGAATGGAATTTTTGTCAGTTTTGTGAAGTGTCTAAAATGAGTTTTTTTCGTCTTTTTTTCGATAGCTACTTTTTTAGTGCTTTTTTTAGTTTGAAAGCCACTTTTTTTTTACTTTTTGAAAATTAATTATCGAATGCGAAGTCTGGAAGAAGAAAATATAATTTACTCCCTATTAACATTGTCAATGATCAAACTAAAGGTTAATAAAAAATACTTTTTGTTTCTTTTCATTTAACTATAAAGAATAATTACGAACAATTAAATCATCATAATGAAAGAAAGTTTAAATTGAAAATTCCTCTTTTTTTTGACCCTTATCGTGGATTATTTATCAGCGCTTTGTAATTAAAGAAAATCATTTAGTTTCGATTAAATCTTGAAACTCGTTTTCCTTCCTTGAGAGACCGCTTGAAGTAACTAATCAAAAGTCGTAACACGAACGAGAAGAGGTCGTAAAAAAAATATCTGAATCTCGAACCTCCTTCCGCGAGAGGAGGCCTTCTCTTTGTGCAAACAATCTTGAGCGATAATCAAGACTTGTGTCTCCCGTGGTATAAATATATGTATATATATATATGTTGTCTTTGTGTATGTATATAAGCTCACAAAGTAAAACAGTGATCCCATTTTTATATTGTGAGTCCCTGTAAATCATTTTGGGCCCTGTGCAAACGTTTCCAGGGACATGAGTCGAGATTCGGTTCGTCAACAGTTGGCGTAGACTCTTCATTTTTTTTTTTTACTTTTTTTCATTTTGCCTTTGCACTTCTTTCTCGATGTCCATTTGATAACGAGCTCTTCTGCTTCACTTTCATGTAGACCCTCTCCTCTCGTACTATATTTTATGATGAGAATTTTCTTTGAGTCGCACGTCCACACCTAATTCTCAGAATCCTGATAAAATAAACCATCTTCTTTGTACATCTCAACGCTTGAGAAACTTAAATGAAGAGAATGTCATTTCTTGACAATTAGAAATTCATTATTATTCCATTACAAAAGGAGCGGGAGTTTAAAAAAATAATTCGAAAAAAAAATGAATAAAATCTAAAATATTTTTGATTGTTTGTTATTTTCTGGAAAAGTGTGTCATTTTTTATGACATTCATATATTGGAGGATGTTCGTATTTTAAATAATTTCTTTGACTTATTGTTAGTTGTACTTATTCACGCACCAGAAGTACTCATTCATGTGTGTGTGTGTGTGTAAAGTGTATTTACGAGCGGTTTACAATTATAATTAGAAGCCACCACAAACAATGAGAAGTATAACTTTTATTTCTGTTATCCACAATTCTGATCTTATTCCTCTTGTGCCTTGTATTCTTGTCGACATTACCTGATTTGTCTGAGCGAGGAATAGTTCTAGTTCGGATTCTTAATCTTTACCAATATTTGTCTGTATTTTTATATTGTCTGTATTTTTATATTGTCTTTTTTTATTTATTGTATTATATAATATCATCCAGTGGTGTTAAAAATAATTTAATAGTATCAAATTTCAACGAATTGATTTCAAAATTGTGGATTCAATCGAGATCACAGTAAAACGTGAGGTGTTAAAATAACACCAGAATGGATTAAAATGTTCTGCAACAGTTTAATCCCTCTAGGATTAAATTAACACCAGAAAGGATTAAAATAAGCTATTTTGGTGTTATTTTTAACTATGAATGAAATTTTACTTTAAATAAAACACCAAAGTCAAGGATTTGTAGATATTCAACTAATTTAGCTTCTCCAAGAAGAATAGTAGGTTAGTAAGTTAGTTATTAACTTAGTTACTTACTTACTAACTGACTTAGTAACATAGTTACTAAATTCAATTGTGTTCAAAAATTTTAAAAAATTCTCGTCAAA